TTGTTTTAAGGAGAGGAGGGGGGGGGGGTAACAAATGTAAACATCAGATTTAACTTCATATTTTATATATGATATTTTGTGTCAACTATCATTTGGCAAGACATTTTTTTTAATTTACACATTTTAGTTTTAAGGTAGGTTGTGCTCTGGTTACTGACTAGATGAAATACCGTATAACGGGTAATTTTCACTGCTGTAAATTTTTACGAATTTTATGAAAAAAATGATTTAAATTTTTTTAATATTTTGAATTGAACATGTCCGTAAAAATTAAAATTGTCAGATGTAAAATTCCAGATATCAGTGATTGTTCACTTTGAATGCGTAAACTTATTGTACAAATAATGTGTCCGAAAACCGGATGTAAGAGAGAGTATATATATGTATATTTGCTTATATCTCTTATATATTTAGATGATAAGAGATTTAAAAGAACATCTTTTTCTTTTTCATCACAATTGTAAAACTTTAAATAGATATGGTAAACTGAATTTAAAATAAAGCAGGCACTATATTTTTCACCACAGGATGGCCTATGAAAATATCTTTTTTAATTATACAAAATTATTGTAGAACAATGAATTTAGTCATAATTTTTACACAATCAAAGACGAGAAGAATTTTTCAAATGTTTGTTAAATTAATGATAAGGGACTAAAGATTTAAAGTATATCAAATAAATATGATTTTCCAAAAAAACTACAATTATATTAGCTTTTAAATCTTTTAATCTAAGTACAGATATGAGCCAAAAATCCATAGAAAGTATTTTTACTCTCTTAGTAAACGGTCAAAACTTTAAGTTTTTTGTAAAATTCCGTATCTCTTTTTTTACCATATGTTAAGATATAGAAGAAATTAAATATAGGATACATATAAAAATAACTAATATCTCCTAAAAAGTTAAGAAAAATAGAGAAAATTCGGATTAGTCAAAATCTATTTTTGTTAAACTGTTTGTGTCAATTTGGTAATATCATCTTATAGACGCTATATGGTAACATCTTTTTATGCAAAAAAAAAAAAAAAAAACATTTAATTTTTTGAAACGGAGGACCGTAAAGCATATATTGGATGCAGTATTTTTTCATTCTTAATGTCCACGGAAAAGGTAATGACCTTGATGTGACCTTGACTTTAATATAAAACGGTCAAAACTAATCTAACTGATACCACCACTTAATGATATTGTCATCTTGATTCTGTGGAAAATACATTAATTTTTAATTATACAAGAAATACAGTTTTGTGTGAGAGGAATCCTACTTTAATTTGACCATTTTTGAATATAAATCTTCATATGGAGCTCTTGTCAAAGGAGATCAATAAAACAAAGTTAAAAATGGCCGTGACCCCCAGTTATTAAGATTTTTAGTACTTTAATTTACTGTAAGTTGGAGTGTGATTTATTATCAAAAAGTGATCCACACATTGTAGTTTTGTAAACCTAGCAGATGGTTGACAACTTTTGAATCTGATTGTAGATTTTCAGCATGCAAAAAATGTGTCATTATCGCATTCGTTTACAAACAGAGTATGAGTTTTAAAGTGACGGAGTTCGGGTAGTGACGGAGTTGGGGGGTTGAACGATATATTAGTCACACAAATAACATCGGGTTCAATATTGAACAAATATTGTACATAGCCAGTTTCAAAAGAGGATGAATAGACCACGTAAAAGACAATGAACAACTTACCATTTTAGGTCTACTTTTTAAGCAAATGTTTTAAATTTCTAGAATACTAGCAGCTGTGTAACACAATCGCTTTGTTTAACAGTACGCTTTTTTACATTTAAAACAAATAGAAATCTAGCGTACTCAGTGTAGTGTATGAATTTAAGTGAAACAAGCACCTGTGCTGTATTGGCCTAATTTCAACACAGTTCCACGGTTTCGAAAAGGGGTCAGTGTTTTCAGGGGGTTATATACTTTTAATTTTTCAGAAAGGTATTTAATAACTAAGCAAAATTTCTTTTATTAAATTAATTATCAAGTAAAAATATATTGAGTAAGAATCCATTTCACTTGGTCGCATATCTCTACGCAAAAGTATTTTTTTAATGAAATTTCCGTAAACAGCGAAAACTTTAGGGCCAATAAAAACTACAGTCATTTTCCTAAAGTGAGAATCGGTTTAGCCTTTAGTTATGTCTAACATAAGTTGTCAACCCATATGTTTGAATTTCCTCTTTATTCGGTAATAACAAATATTTGCCGCCAAATCAAACTTTGACGGAGAAATGTTTGATAATTATTATGTTCTAAAACAGGGGGATATATGTGACTTCAAAGCACTGAATGTTTTCACAAACAATGACGTCATATGTTTGAAATGAGGTCACGAAAATGACGTAAATTTATAATTTCCATGATTTCTATAGAAAAAATGTATACGTTGATATTTCAGTAAATGGCTATTTTATAAACATTTCTTACCTGGACTCCAAAAATGTAGTTCTCCTAGACATAAATCAATCCATAAATATACAGAACTATCTATAAATCGGTTATTTTTCGTGTATGTCAACATCATAACTTGAATTTATCCGCCATGTTTACTGACCTTGATAGATTGTATTTTTGGACAGCCAATGAGAATTTAGGTTCTATAAGAGGGGATCTTTTAAGAATTCCCTTATTTTAAGCACAAATATCGCTGTTTGCGTAAAAATAACACTTGAAATGGTTTTATTTTATCGATGTTTTTGTGATACAATTCAGCACAATCATTTATAAACACCGACATTTGCTTTATTAAGTTGTTCTAAATTTCAAGCGAAAGTCTCAGTACGTCACGCGTGAACTGTCATTATTTTCCAATCTTGCATCGTTTAATTTGAGGTCTATTTTTAAAATAGGCAGTCTTATTTATCTTCTAAATTGGAGAGTCCCATTGTATCGCGGCATGGGTAAACATATGGAAACTTGTAGACCCCATGGGCCCACTCGATTGGGACCCTTCTAGAAGCAGAGTGGAATGTCAGAAGGGTTGGAATATGTATGTCTAAATCGAGTGTTCAGAAGGATACTGAATATGATGGAATATCTTCTGCAATGTTTTGAATTACTGCAGTAGTTATTTTTCAAGAATTTGAATCCTTTAATTTAAAGCATTAAATGTTATTTTTTTTTTTTAGAAAGGGAAACTTGAAGAGACAATTAGGAGTGGAAAAAATTTATTAAATATGATAATTTTGGGAACTTTCTATTTATGTAAAGAAAGGTTAAAACATCAAATACCTGAGACAGAATAATATTAAACTACATGTATAAAAAAAAATTAAAATAATTATAGTCACATCAGGGACCTATCTATGGCTGAAATTTTCACCCCATATTACATGGTAAATTATGAATCTGTGTTCGATGGTTGATTTTACTGCAATAACATAACAAAAAAATGTTTCTTAACAGAATTACCCTTCATAAATTATAAAAGTACTTTTTTGCAATTGAATTTGTTTTAAGTTTGGTTTATTTACAATAATTAAAGTCCCAAAAGTTTTCACCCACCCGCTTGATGCCATATTAGAATGCTATCCTTCCATCCTTGATGTGGAAGGCTGAGAAGGCCTTCTAAGTCTACCCTACCAAACCAATCGAGCAGACAGAATGGTTATTCTGGAATAAGAAGGGTCCCAATCGAGTGGGCCCATGGACCTCAATATTTATTTTTGAATTTAGAATGTAATTCTAAGTGAAAAAATAAACAATTGTACAAACTAAAGACTTTTAAAGGATGAACTTTATTATAATTTTTACTTGGTTATAAATTTAATAGTCTAAATATAATAAAAATGGGAGTGGAAATCTGTAAAATTACGTTTTATTTGAATATTTTTTTTTTCAAACAGATGTTCCATACTTCTTAATCATCAAAAAAGTAAACATTCAGACAACATACAGATTGTCCATCAACAAAAAGAATATAGGCTATGTATCCGAATTTTTGCGATATACCGCGGTACAATGAAATCCGCGATATAATGAGAATCGGGTATACACACTGCACAGTGTTAAAGAGCATTATACTTAATTCTAATTTACCTGGGGCATAAAAATAGATATTTTAGTTTTATCGATTCAAAACTAACCACTTAGAAACTTTCTTTGATGCAGGAACAAGCGAGAATTCTGCAAGACGACTAAAAGTTAGTGACGACCTAAGTCATAAGGGATGATTTACGTTACAATTCCATTAACCACTTGACAGATAAGCAGAAAAATCTCTTAATTGGAAGATATGAAATGACATAAAAACTTTAAGTGTTATATCATTTCCCATGCATTCTTTTCTAAAACATTTGCTATTGCAGCAGCGATATTAGCTGCAAATCTGTAGAGTTATGGTTTTATATAGTTGTCTTTGACCATAAAGCTACAGACCCCGTAATGCAAAAAAGGTGCAATTTACGGCGCAATATTTGCGCACTTTTGGGGAGAATTTCTCCACTTTCTAGCATTAGTCAATCAACTACCTTTCACTCCCTAATTCTAGACACATTCTGTAGCCAATATATATATTTTATCCACCTCCCAACTATTTTATAGTTGTCTCTACAGGCAATAAACTCGCTTGAAGTGAATTTTCAGCAATCTAACAAATAATTTTAATCAAGTGAGTTTATCACTTGTAGAGACGTTTATAAAGGGTTGGGAGATGAATAAAATATACAGATTAGTTAAATAATGTGCCTAGAATTAGGGAGTGAAAGATAGTTAATTGACCGAAGCTGGAAAGTGGAGAAATTCTCCCCAAAAGTGCGCAAAAAATATTGCGCCGTAAATTGCACCTTTTTTACATTACGGGACCTGTAGCGTTATGGTCAAAGACAAATATATATAACCATAACGCTACAGATCTGCAGCTACAGCGATATATACTTGGTATTATAATATGGTATGAAGATCCTTGTGTATAGATATTCAGTTTTCCCTGGCGGTGATTATCTATTATTCTCAAATTCAACATTTACAATATTTCTCTTCTGTAGGACC